GAGTGGCAGCAGTGGCCCTGGAGCTGGCCTTGATGACATCAAGTAACTTCGTGTTTACTGCACAGAATGATGTCAGTGTGGTTTGGGGTTGYTATGAGGAAGGTGCCACGAACTCAAGTTCAGTTATCTAGACGGGTGAAAATTTCAGTGCAGGTGCAAGGACTAAACAAGCTTTAAATAACTGAGGCAAGGCAATGTAAACAAACATCTGTGGCCTTTGTTAAGGGTATGCTGCACATGGATGCAGAGAAGCCTATGCTTCTGTCTGCCAGTTGTATTTTGCCTTGGTCCCTGAATTGACACAAAATGTAATTTAGTGTTAATTTAAATGCTCACGAATTTTAGTAATCCATTTATGCTTGGCATGGTGAAGTGCACAGGTGAAATAGCGATAAACAGTGAACAACACTTGCAGTCTTGAACTTAGGTCACGCCCTCCTGAAATTACAAATAAAATAAATACATCCAATAACTTTTGATTTCTTGCCATGTGGATTCAGCACTTTTGTTATATTTGCAAAACCCTTTTTCTCTCTTGCTGCTTCCTATATCATTGCCCCCAAAACTTGTCATTTCTTGGTAAAAGTGTCGTGCATCCATCACCCAAATGTTCTTCTAATAGCTTTTGTTAGTGTAGCTTAGGTTTCTGCATACAGAGTTCAGGAGACAGAGCAATGTCTTTCAGTTCGCATTTGTAAAAAGAATTGCAGATGGACAGAGTGACTTATTTTATTTGTAGTTCTGTGAATTTTGTAGCACGAGTATAGTCCAGTGGATGGGACTGGCCCATGTCATAGAACCACAGGCTGCTGAGGCTGGGGAACATCTCTGAGGCCCTTTTAGTCCTACCCCCTGCTTCAGCAGTGTCAGCCACCGAAGGTTGCCCAGGACTGTGGTCAGCTGGGTTTTATTTATTTTGAACATGTGGAGGTGGTGCTTTCTGCAAGAAACAACTTTCCCCAAGGCATGGAATATGCTTCATCTCTTTCCAAGCTCCTGTTAGTGGCAGTGTCTTGGAAGCTCTTTTAATGTTAAGGAGGTCTGAGTCTGGGGCTTTTCTATTTGATGTTGTTTTGCCACTGAGTGCTATGATCAGAGATCCCAGCTTTAKTTTGGAGGGGAAGCAGTCACTTCCATTATGGGTGTGAAGAATTACAAACTGTAAAAAATAAACCAGACTGCAATAGACAACTCATCCCTGATTGGGTTGTGATTAACATGTCAAATATTCTTTTGTTCTTACTACCTGATTGAAGGGACTCACAGGAGTTCTTATTTCGCATAAAACTTCTCATTTCTGTATAAGCAGCTTAGCATTTGGCAGGACTGTTGCCATCATGTCAATTCTCTAGCTTTGCAACTGACTCGGTTCTTCTGTGTGCTTTCTGTTAATTTAGAGCTATGCATTCTGTTCTTTTATTCCTGTGTCAAGACAATCATCCCCTGGAAAACTCTGCTTATAGTTAGTAAGAGCTCTGAGAGCTGCATTGTATTTTTCTACTTTCTACAGCTTAAGGTGGCAACGAAAGTTGCCCAGTCCATGTGAAACCTTTAAGCAAACAAAATTCCCTAAACTTTGCTTCAAAGTACAAAGTTTTTTTCTTCTCCAAATGTCTTATTTTACCACGTTTTGTTAAAAAGCCCTCACATTGAAAGCTATTTAAGTAAATCATTTTGAGTCAAAATATGGCCTTGTAGGCTTTTTAAAAACACTAGATTTACATTTTTGAAAAGAGGAAACCAATTAAAATATTAAAATAAATCATAAACAAGTCTGAAAACTTTTCTAGCAGTCAGATCAGGAAAAGATTAGGCCGCAYAATTGCTTAACTTTTTATGTACTGTGTTTTCAACATAGGTGCAAAAAAAGTAACTTCGGGGAAGCAGCTTTTGAATATTGTCCAAAAATGTGATCATTATTAGGCTAGTCTTACGCTTTGAAGAAGAAATAAATCTTTTTATTGGTTACAGCAGAACTCTAGCTGACTTTATTCCATTTGGTTACATTAGTGAAATGCTCCAGATGTGCAGAAAGCAGACACTCCTCCAGATGTGAAAAATTATCTTTGCTTTTTTTGGCTGTTTTACAGTTGTTACTCGTGTTTAGGGCATACTTATTTTAGGTAGGAAGGGGCTTCATTTGCTAAACAGAATTTTATGCAAAGYTCTTTGTTTTCTCTTGCTCTGCAGAGAAATCAAACTTGAAAAGTAGCATCAATAGGTGGGTACAGGGTTTGAAACAAACAGTGGGATTTAATTTCATGAGACATTGGGCAGGGCTAATTATAAACTGCTGCTTAGCAGTGGGAGTAAACATCAGCATTGCCTGATGTAGAGATCTTGTCTGCAAGCCTCTGCACTGGCTGAGAGGAAAGAGTACGGTTTTAAGTACTTCCACTGGCTTTCTACCTCTGTGTTCTTTTCATGTTCCAGGTTCTCCATTTAAAACCTTGGAGATATTGTAAGACATGGACAACCAAGTCATCCTTTACCCAGATTTTTTAGAATTAAACTACCTCTCTTGGTTTTACYTGCATAGGACATTCAAGAAAATAASTGTCTGAATGTRATCTGAAMAGTAGAWGTCTTTTATTGTAGATAACTAATTCTTGTGGTGCRAAACCTGWTTTGMAATCAAGTGCTGGTAAGCTTAAAAAACAATTGGATAGGATGTGATTGCCTATGTTCTCTTATTTAAAGTGTTTCTTGAACAAGTTCCAATTGTTGGAAAGTTGGCCTTTCTGTATTTTCTACAGGTTCTGCTRTGGTTAGGTGTTGAATATTTCTACTCCTTGTATTTTCAGTCCCCTGAGAAGAAGGAGTACAAGAACAGGAATATAAAATCCAGTTTTCATTGTGGAAGTTGGAGAGGCTGCTTTTTGCCTGGTTGCCTGAATTTAGTTTGTGGTTACCAGTAACCTTGTCCTGCAAGAGGGCTGCCAGACCTTGTGTAAACTCTATGGAGGTGAGAGACCTCTTTGAGCTCAGATTCTTACGTAGGTCACGAAAATAAGGGGCTAAGGAGCAGAGTAGATSCAAGTTGGGTAGTCACAGACCGTATGAAATTTAACAAGAGTGAGTGCCAGGTTCTGTGCCTGGGATGGGATAATCCTGGTTCTGTGTACAAACTGGAGGACAAGAAGCTGGAAAGCAACATGCAGAAAGAGAGCTAGGGGTTTGRGTTGATGGCARGTTGAACATGAAACAACAGTCTGGCAGCMAAAAGGGCCAGTTGTTTTATGGGGTGCATCAAGAACAGCAGTGRTGGCTGCTCAAGGGAGGTGATTATCTCACTCTGTTTTGCTCAAGTCCTTGTGTGCAGTTTTAGGTTCCTTAATGCAATAAAGAGATCAGACTAGTAGAGTGTGTCCAGAGGAGAGTGACCAAGATGGTGAAAGGCCTCAAGGACAAAACCTACCAGGAGTATCTRAGTTGACTTGGTTTGCTCAGCCTGGAGAAGAGAAAGCTGAGGGTGGCCACACAACAGCCTACATCTTCTTCAGGGTGGGGCAGAGGGGCCAGTGCTGTTCTCTCTCAGATTACCTTCAAAAGTACACAAGGAAATGGAATGAAGCTGCATCAGGGGAAGTTTAGWCATTAGGAGAGAGTTCTTCTCTGAGAGGGTGGTTGTTCGCTGGAGCAGACAGGAAGGAATGTGGCATGGAACAAAACCTGACCGTACAGGAGTGTCTGATTCATATAGTTCATTTATAGTTAGTTCTGTGAGGAGCAAGGTGTTGAAATTGGTAATTCTTACCGGTCCCTTCCAGCTGGAGATATTCTRTGATTTTAAGTCCGTCAGCCGCTCCTGGAATAGCCGGTAATGTCCAGCTCTGGGACAGAGACAAGRTGACCACTGTCACCTGGTTCATAAGCCTACAACTGGAAGGCCCTTTGCGACATGCAGGCTCTGTGGGCACGCTGTGCACGGCCCTGTGGAGGGAAGGAAGCAGGGGAGCACTGGCATGTTTAGGAAAACAAAATCAAAGCAGTCTATTGCTCAAGTCAGAAAAGTGACRTTTGTGGTGATTCATCACGGGTCTCCTTTCTTGGTGTGTCACCATACATGTGACTAATGGAGGCCATTCCAAAGCTCCTGTGGGCCTGCTGTGGAATGTGAATATGACTAATCTAATACTGTAGCAGGAAGTATCTGACAGCAGCAGAGAGGTCTTTGCAAAAGATCATTTGCACTCTTATTTGCATGCTTAYTTGGATCTCTTGAATACCCTCTAGCTCTTCAGCTGTTCGAAACCTATGTTTGCTCTTTCGTTTTACCCACTGCTTTCCCCCCAGCCAATACAAATTACGTTGGTTACTAGACAYGGCCTGCTGAAGATCTGGCTCTTGAGATTCAGGTGTTTGAGCAACAGACATGAAATGAAAATAGTGTAGACACTTCTGAAGTATTCTTGACTCTGCTGATACCCCTAGGAGCTAGAAATACCTGCTGCACTGTGCTCTATAAGCAATATAATATCTACTTTATTTGTAAATATCTTTGTTTAGACTAAGAAAATGCTCATAAGCTTAGTTGCTCTGGGTGTTCCTTAAATTTGCAGGGAGTGCAGTGTATTCTTGCTGACTTTTCCTCCTTGGACCCTTATAATACCTTTATTCTAGTTCTGTATCTGTATTTCTTGTTTTCTGATTACTTCTTTCCTGGAACCAGCAGAATCCTCATTACTGAGCTTTTCTTCTTTCAGGCTAAGTCACTGAACCTCTGGTTGGACCCACCCACAGCAAAAGTGGACTGAGTACATTTATAAAAGCAGCTGTTTTAAAGACATAGGAAGCTTTGTCGTGAASAGTGGCGAAACAGCTTTCTTTGCTGGGAAAGCTCACTTCGAGCTTTAGAGTGCAGATTATTGTAATGAGTTCTGTAAGCTAGTTTTTGACATTTTTTGCTACTTTTATCTCAAAAAAGCAATCTTGCTGCTTGCTTGGAAGGCAGAATTTTGGTTTCAGAATAATGAATAATTCCAGTCAATAGAGCATGGTTTCTTCCTTTTATTGACTCAATTTTTTTATTCCTCTGTCAAAGCATGTTTTACATACATTTGACAGTCTGCAATCTCATCCTAAATTATTTTTTTGTGAAGATCATGTGCAAAATTCCTTGAAATAGCAATGTCACTGAAAGCACATCCTTTTGCAAAGGTTTCCTCCTCCTATGGGATATGGCTGCAGCTGAAGCTATTCTGAGTTTCCGGGCTAAGTTTCATGCTGGCAGTGGGGAAACATTTCATATAGCCTCGTTTCTGCTCCAGGTAAAATTTAGCTGCACCAAAAATACAATGTTGAGTGCCATGTGCTTGTTTTTCCATCTGCCTGAAAAGAAAAAGGGCTCTTGAGATACACGCACCAGTGTAACATTCATTGTTTAGTGATATACCTTTGACTTTGAGACAAATGGTGTTAACAGGTGGCAATGGTCCTTCCTCTGGGTGCTACTCTGGTAGAGTGTTTTGAGGAGTATGCATTGTTGAATAGTTGATATCTACTTTCATGCCTTTTTCTTATTCCATGTTTCAGTGAAAGTAGGGATGGAAAATCAGAAACACCCCAAGCAGTTGTTTTAGTTGTCCACTTACCTCATAGGCCTCTTCTGCTGAGATCACACTACTGTATTCATGCTGTGAAACCAGTTTGTATCCTGTGTGTATTGAATTGGTGTGTTTGCACTTGGTTGGGTAAGAAACAGTAGCTCTAGCAACTGACATAATACAAGAGACAGTGCTCTTTTCCTAAGGCCTGAAAATAGAATTTAATCTCCCTGGAGTGGAGGTCCCATAGTGGTGCCAGCTGCATTTAGCTGTGTTTTAGGGAGTTGAAAAGGCTGCTTAAGATTGTATATGTTAATACGTTAACCACCTGCCTTCTGCAAACGTTTGTTAGGGGAAAGGTAAATCTTATAAACCCATGAAAATTAATTTTTAATGCCAACATATGAAATCCATTACCTGATCATGTARCTTTCATAATGGCCTTTGTGCTTCAAGGCTCTTTGTCACACTTGAATCTTGTATGTTCTTGTGCGTTGGAGCTGTCCCCCTGCTTTTGTGGTTCTGTGGAAAGAAGGCTGGAAAGGAATATGCTGTGGATGGTACTAAGAAAGCATGAAATAGCAGTGGCAAGAATRAATGATAAAGTGTGTTATTGACTGCATCCTTCAGGTGATTTCTATAAAGCCATTTTTTAGTATGGTTCCCTTTTTTCTAAAAAGACATATGGACAGTGATCTGGAGAAATAGAGAAGAATGTCTGTCTTCAGCCCGGACTCAAAATATTCTTCTAGATTGACTCAGGAAGCAGAAGACATACCTCAAGATAGATCAGAGACATGTTTATGACTTTATTAAATGTTGGGTGTGAGTAAGAACAAGCAGTATCCTTACTATTTCTTTTCTCTTCTACAGGCCAAGATGACTTCTCCTTAGGAGATGCACTTCCTGAAGGTAGGTAGGAAAATTGTGACTGCTCTTTTGACTTCTTTATTTCCAAGTATCACTGCATGACCAAGCATCACAATTTTACCACATATGGTTTGTTTAAATCTCAGTGGAACAATTCAGCCATGTGTTTGTCAAGACGTTGACCGCTTAGAACTCAAATTTGTCTTCAGAACACTTAAAGATTTCTCTTTGAGGCAAAATTGTCTTGCTGTATGGATTTGATCCTGTGCATTTTTTTGTATAGACATGTATTTACATTTGTCCCTTGTCCTTCATGTGGCTTCTGAACAGTGTGTTAAATAGTATCTAATTTTTTTTTCCATAACCTACTTTACAGAAAGTACAAAGAAGCCTCCTGTGACTCAGAAGACACCATCATCAGATCCAGGTGAGATCTGTTTGGTTTGTAATGCCTTTTACTGTAAAATCAAGTGTAGTCTACATACTAATTTGAGATCCTGATTTTTCCAGTTTACTGATACACAGGGTTRTGATATATTTATAAAATAAAGCAATTCCCTAAGCAAAAGCAAAAGGATTTCTTCATTTTTGAATCTTCTGCTAGTGCTGTCAGAAATATACTCTGTTACTTCACAAGCTTAAAGGCCCTGTGGCTGTCAGTCTGCATGTTTGAAGCTTGCTCACCGTGAGCTGGCCCTTGGCAGGTCCCATGATCACCAGAAGAAGCAAGTCACTTGGCAGGTAATGCCTGGTAACTCTGTGGGGCTTTTCTCTGAGTCACTGTTGAGTGAGCATGTCATTACATTCACCGTGAAAACATGATGCATTTTGTGTAAAAAACAGTCTTAAGACTAGTTCAGGTTTTGCATTACATTTAAAACTGCCCCTCTTTCTTTGTAGATGATTTTGACTTGATCCATGCTCTTAGTCCTGGTAAGTATCATGTTTTTCTAGATACTGTTCAAAGGTACCTGGTGCAATGTGTGTTCATCCTTTATGATCTAAATATACCAGGGCACTGAGTTGATTAAGGTAGCAGACTGCAGATAAAAATAATTGCAGTCTAGTTATGTTTCTTAACCTTAATTTTTAGGGTTCTGGATCATAAAAGCTGTATGAATTTCAGTAATTTCTTAGCCAGCTTCTACTTGTTTTATTGCTGTGTTTTCACTAGATGGCACTAATTCCATAAATGATTACATATGGAAGTAAATGTTAAATCCGAAGTAATCTCTCCCATTACTGGAAGTAATTTGATTTGCGCAAGGAAACATTAATCTGTTAGAAATGATTTGAAGGAAAGTACTCTTGTGTACAGACGGTGCCAAAACAATACAGAGATAATTTCTACTGTCTCTTATTCTCTTATTTTGTGGCAAGCTAAATGAAATGTCATTGTGGGAACCATATGTCTAGTTCTATTCTGTGTACTTTGTCCATTTTACAAGTGAGGTACCAAGCTTTATATTTGGTTAAAATCTGGTAATTAAAAAAAAAAAAAAAAAAATATTTGGTTAAAATCTGGTAATAAAAAAAAAAAAA